ATACTAATAATACATAAGTTTTCTTCTTTGAGAAACCCTTTGAATTTGTGAATTTATGGGTTGTTATTGTTATGTTTAAGAAATTGTTTGGAAGAAAGTTTGAATTCTTAGCCTTAATCAATACCTTTCAGAGAAGGTAAGTTTTGTTTGGGGGTTTTGCACTGAAAATTTGATGGAGAACTCGTTGAGTTGTTGAAGAAAAAAAGTGAAAAACAAATTAAAGCTAAGTCTACGAGTTATAAAAGGGAATTGAACTTGTAAACAGAAATCCAAAATAAAAAGGGGTAGCTTGTTGAGAAAAGAAAAAGAGAACAGAGAGGAGGAATGAAGAAATGGAGAAATTTCGTGGGTTTTAATGGAGAAGAAAGAAGAAGATCAAGAAGAAGAGGATGAGTTGTTGGAGAGAGAGAAAGGAATTATTGTGGATTAGAATTAAATAAGAAAAAGAAAAGAAATTGGGTAAAAAGGGTGTTTCACGTGACAAGATGAAAAGAAGAGAAAATGAATTGGTTTTGTGGGACCCACTTGTAAGTGTTACGAGAGAGAAAGAAGTATTTTAACGACTGAGAATGAATTGTGAATTGAATATTGTGGGTTGTTAATGAGTGAAAGAGAAGGGGTTGTTTATTTGATAATTGGTTTTATTTGAAGATATTGTGAGTTAGGTTTGAATTAAGTTTATATTGGAATTAAGTGAGTTAATTTGGTATTGAATCCATATTTCAGGTCATATAGAAATTGGAGCTGCGATGATCGAGTTTGAAAGATCTGTGAGTGTTTATTTTATTAAATGTTTTTAGATATTTTTCCTAGAATTTCTGAGAAATTATATATATTATGTATGATTTAACATTTCTATTAAGAATGAAAAAAATGTGTTTGTCTAATAATTTAGTAATGTTTTATGATTTTAAAGAAATATTTAAAACTTATGAAAGGTATTTAGAAAAAGATTTCATAAAATGATATTATTATTTCGTGAAATGTATTTAGAAAGAAAGATTTTAGAAATGATTTGAGAAATTTAGAAAAGTTCTTAGAAAGAAAAAGAAAATAATTTTAGAACAGTTTATGGAATTGAGAATAGTTTTCAAACCACCATATTATTGTATCCAGGTGATTACCCGTATGCTATAAGAATGTGTTTCTATAATATACCCAGAAATAGAAGGTCTTTGGGACCATTTGACTCCGCGCGTTGAGATGAGTATTCTGTTGTGTGTATTGAGATCACTATACGCCAATAGACCAGAATAGAATATGGTTACATGTGCGGTATTTAATTTTTTTTAGCCTGTTTTATGATTGAAGTAAAATGTTTTACAGGTTTTTAGAATGTGTTTTTAGAGCAGGTTGAGATGGCATAACTGGATCGCAGGGGAATGCCGAGACAATTAGGGCCAAATCTGGATTTCAAATCTTGGTCCAAATCCTGGACTTGGGAGCGTTGCCTTTTCGGTTTGCCTAGAAATAAATTGTTGTTGCAAGTCTATTTTGAGAAAATTTTACTGAGTTTTTAGTTGCTCAAGTTCTATGAAATTTAAATGAAAAATTTTGTTAGTTCAATTGACGAAGTTTGTTTTAAGAACTGAATTTTCAGAAGTTTTATGAAGTTTTATAAGTTTTATGAGAATATTTTCTTATTTACTCATCACTCGTGAGTTTAAACTCACTCTTTATCATTTGTTTTTTCCTAGGATGTATCTGAGTTTTTGGTTTCTGAGTTTCAAGGAGAATTTAGTTCAACTTCTGCCMTCCAGAGTAGTTGAGGATTTGCATATCACTTCTTACGGACATTCTATTATCACCCATGGAGGTAAAAATGATTGTTCTGTTGAGATTATTGATTTATTGTGCATCTATTCAGAGCTTGTTAGTCAAAGTTCAGGTCAAAGTTAAGAAAGAAAGTTGATTGTGGACTCTGTAGCTTGTCGGGATCTATGGTCAGTGCAACTCGTTCTAGGACTAGTAGGTGTTTTGGGACGGGTGGTGTCAGTGGGGTGGGGCTATTGCGTTCGATTTCTTTGCGCAGCTTTTGTGTTACATCATCTCCTCCACAGTGCTTCACCTTGACTAGTCGCCGCCCACACGCCACTTCTAGCATCATCCCCCCAACACGTAAATGTCGGATATCGTCGTCCATTTCCACGTCGTTGCCAGCTCCATTGCCATATAACTCAAAGTCCCTACAACGGGGTCGTATTCGAATCCAACCCATTTTCATATAGTTTCGCGACCCCGAAATCCACCAATTTCCCGTTTAATTAGTTATCTAGTGACTTGCCTTCACGCCTCTATGAATCACCACCTGCTCGTACCCTTCATGGAGATAGAGCATAGCAGAGGTGATGCTCTTTATAATTTTATGTTAGGGAAAATGGAGACAAAAATGAAAGATAATAAATGTTGCACACGTTATCAAACGAAGAAAAATTGTTGCATCTCTTAACAGGCCTAAAACAAATAGCCTTCTAAATTTCTTCCACTGCCCTTCATTCCTTTTATTCACACATATATATTTATATAATTTTTGAAGAAACCAATATATAGACCAGAAGCAAAAAGGGAGGAGAGGGCGGCGGCCATTTTTGGGCAGAGAGGAAGAGAAGAGGTGAGATCTTCGACTGTGGAGCGTCGTCGGCAGTCCGTTCTCGCAATTCTTGTGAGGTTTTTCATTATGTATCTCTAAATAGCTATTGTTGTAGTATTTAGAGAGCATTTTAGTGAAAATGAAGCTCATTGTAATCTTTCCATTATAGTGGAACTGTACAAGCCTAGATGCTGAACTTGGAGTGAACCAGTATATTTTTGGTGTTTGATTTTTTATCCCTATCCCGTAGTTCCTTATTGTTGATTAAACTGTGATCTATTCTATTCGATGGAAGGGAAAAAAAACTAGTTAGATCCGGTTGAATTGCTCTTACTTGAAAAAGATATTTTATATTACTGCATATATATATTTTTTCCAACATTTTAAACCTCTTTTTCCGATTCAGAATGGTTTTCGGATCGTTGAATAGGTAATTATCAAAGTTTCCATTTGCCACAAAATTGTTAAGAAGAAGATTGCTCCGGCGGCGGCAATATCCGAACGACCAAATTACAGTGGCGAAGTCGACCGATGGTGGCGATTTCGAAGACGAGTTCACGAAAGTCCTGTTTGGATTCCATCGAAATTCACTGTTTGGTTCCTTTGTAAACTTTCTCGAATCTCCCATGGCCAAGCGTTTCGGAAGAGATGATGTTTTTTTTCAGATAACCCAAAAGCCCCACGACACGAAGAATCCACCTAATATTTAGGGATTTAATTTAACTATTTATTTGAAAATAAAATTACATGTAATCTCTCCTTCATCTTTAAAAAGTGTCAAATCGTCTACTCTTTACTTTGCTGATAGCCACTTAACACCACGGACCAAAATAAACATATTTTTTTTTTCAAAGTATAGGAACTAAAATCAACATTTTCAAAATATAGAGACTAAAATGAACTTAGACTGAAAGTATAGAGACCAAAAGAATATTTGACATCTTGAGTAGAGTTTACATTTCTTTAATTATTTAATATAAAAGGTTGTCTAAGCTTTTTTTTTCTTAAACATAGCTTAGTATGTGTCAATTGAAAATTTCCATCGATAATATTACATTCTTAATTTTTATTAAATTTGATATTAAATTATGCATATTTAAATTGATCACAACTTGGCTTCTCGTAGTATAAATTCACCATCATTGTCTATCACAATTGTAGTCTATAGCTGTAGTCTATTGTATATGGCATTATATTTTTGGAAAAAAAAAATGACATTCTAAACCACGGTTTTCGTCAGTTGTGGTCTATAACACTATAGAATATAGGTGATGTTAGTCATAGTCTATAGTATAAATTACCTCTAATGTCAGCCATAGTATAGTATTATGGACTACAACTGACATTAATTGTAGTCTATAGTTGATAGCACACTATATATGTGAGTTATATTTCATGAGATTTATAAATAAGATTATCTGTTAGTTTCCTGTTATTCATGATATATTTATTCACATAAGACATATTTTAGGAATGAAGTATCAAGAGAAAATGAAACAAAATTGGATCAAATTGAGAGAAAATCAAAGCCCAAGAGGAAGACATCACAACACTTAATTGAGGCAAAAAAAAAAACCTTAGGAGACAATGCCATAGTGTTAACACGGCATTTTTTTTTTATAAAAATTTTCAGTCCCGAAAAAGAGGAATTTTGAAAAGGTTTTTTGGAAATTCGACTTTTTGGCCATTTGGAGGGCAATTAGTCCATTGGAGATATGTATCAGAGATTGGCTACCACAAGTGTACGTACAAGTTAAGTTTTAATATATATAGTAAGTGAATGCCGATATCATCCTCTAGATTGAGTTTATAGCTCACTTGAGTACCACATATACAATCGCTCAATTTTATTTAAAGAATCAAATTCGCATGAAAGAATAAATCAAAACAAATAAACATGCAAGATTAAAGAGAAAATCAATGAGGTCCAGGAAATTGATTTCACATGTTGAATCTATGACCCAATTATTTAATTACTAAAGATTGAATAAACTATTATCATGTGGGCCAAGAATTCTAAAGCCTCAACTTCTTTTAAAACTTAACTCGTACACGTGTAGTAATCAATTTGTGCTACAATAGTATAGATTATAGCTAACGTTAGCCATGGTCTATAAGTATAAACTATAGTAGTCATACCATATACTACGGCTGAAAAATTATAGCCTATTCTGATACCTTCATTATTGAATAAATCTTTCAACGAACTCTAAAAAACTCATTCAATAAAGTTTTTGTTTGTTATTCTAAGAGAGAAATATGATTTATTCAATATCTAAGGGGAAAGACCTCTTTATATAGACAAAGTCCCGAACAAACAAAAAACTCCATTTTCAGATTGGTCCAAAAAAAACTCCTTGACCTGACCCAAATCCAACATATCCATAAATACAAACAATCGCGCAACAAATCAGGTAAAATTTATATTCTATTTGATTTTAAAAATTTATTAAATGCTACAAGCTAAAGAGAAAGTCTTTCCATAAACATAATTAAAACCTACCTTCATCAATCTCCTTCACAAAAGTTTGAAGATTCAAATAGGAAGACCCACCTTCACCGATAGCTCCTATCGCCAATTCTTTCAACTTCTTGACATTTCCCTCTATCTCTCCTCTCTTTTTTACCTCCCTATCCCCCATCACAATATCCAAACAACGCCTAATTTCTTCCCTCCCCACAATCCCTTCTGTATTCGGCTTCACCCTCACCCCCGTCCTCCATACATCCTCCACAAGCTTCGCATTCGTGGTTTGATCTATCTGCTGCGGAAAAGCAACCACGGGCACCCCATAAACCAAGTTTTCTAAAGTCGAATTCCAACCACAGTGCGTCACAAAACAACCTAACGAAGAATGATTCAAGACCTGAACTTGATTGCACCACCTCACAATTTTCCCTCTCCCTCCCAACAATTCCCTCACCTCCTCCTCCTCGTTATTATTCTCTCCGCATCTCTTCACCCACAAAAAATTATAGCCACTCCCCACCAAAGCATCCATAATTTCAGCCTCTTGTTCATCGGACAACACGCACATGGACCCAAACGACACATAAACGACCGAGGATTCAGCCTTGGAGTTCAGCCACTCGATGCAACAACAACAATCCTTAGTATCAACAAATGAATCAGATGTTGTCGATGGAACCAACGGTCCAACCGCCACCATTTTGAACTCATTGACGACCCCCAAGGCTTCCTCTTCTAATTCTTCGAACGTGTTGAGTAGTACTTTTGGGTGGCGCTGTTTGTGAAGGAATTCAAGTTGGTTTTTCAATAGAGGGAGAACGAAAGCGTAGGGGCTAGAAGGGTAGAAGAAAGAAGGGATGTCGTTGGGAGAGAGCAGGGGCAGACCTGGTAATTTGACGCAAGAGGAAGGGTTGTGTTGGAGGAGTAGTAATTTGTCAGCATGGCCATGGAAGTAATGGTGGTAGAGAGTCAAAAGTGTTGCGGGTTGGACGAAGAAAAGGGCAGATGGGATGTCCAACGTGGCGGCCACATCAGCCGCCCAAGTGAGTAGCTGACTGTAGATAACGAAAGTGATTGGACGGTCTTGGTCTGACATGGCAGTGATGAGGTGGGATAGGGATTGGGAGCCGTGGCGACTGAGGTTGGAGAAGTAGTGGGTGGGGTCGTCGGCGTCGAGTTGGAAGGTGGTTTGGTGGTCGGAGCCGTCAGAAATGGTGGCGAGGGAAAGAGTTGGTGGTGGTGGTTGGGTTTGGTTGATGCGACGGATGGCCGCAGCGGTGGTGGCGAAGGTGACGTGGACGCCGAGATTTATGAGGCGATCGGCGAGTTGAAGGGAAGGGTTTATGTGGCCAAGAGCAGGGAAAGATATGAGGAGGAAATGGTGATTTCTCATCTCTTAATTAAGATTTATCTCTTTTTTTTTTTGGAACAATAATTAAGATTTATCTTGGTGGGATTCTTGAATGTACAAGCCGATTCTTACTTCTTATATAGCTATCAAAATACAAAGATGATATAAATGAAACTTGGTTATTTTTTAATTTGGTGCATCGAATTCAATTCGCATTTAAGGAAAATTTGGCAGCTATCTAATTAACGGGTCGCGTACGCATTTCAACAAGATAAATTTGTAAAGAAAATGTTTAGATAGCATCTATATCTTTTGGTGACTAGTTAGTAAAAAATTTTCCAACGAGAATATGTTCATATTATGGTTTTGTATTTATAAATTGTTTTCTAGTACGATGCTCAACTTTGACATGTGGTGATTGGGATGGAGTATCCATACTACCATAGTGTCATAATTTTTTACGGGGAGTATAGATAATCTTTCTATTTATTGCCTACTACGTCAGTATTGCATGGCCTATCACGTCAACATCATATCAAAAATGACGTAGTCCACTAATATTCAAACATTATATTTGTAAAGATGATCAAATCATAGTATGAATAAAGAGATTATTATATTCCTGTATTACTCAACTTTTTTTAGTTAACACTCATCTTTTTGTTGACTATCATTCAAATTTTGATATGTAAGAAAAAGAAATATTGAAAGAGAGAACTTTTTTTTGTTTTTTGTTTTTTAATTTTTAGTCATGGTCAACAGCAAAGTAGCAGCACTTAATTAATTATAGGAGTTACGATTACTGATCACTATTTTTGTTAAAGGAGGAACACAATATTTTTTGGAACTCTTCACAGGTGATTATCAATTTTGTACAGACCACCATTGAAAAAATGGCAATCTATGATTCAGTATCTGTCTTTGAATTTCTCTATTAGTTGTCAAACATTCAAGGATTATCTGGATAAGATTCATTGTGTCGTGGTGGTGATGAGCCACGTATTCTTCTTATTTTTCTCTAATCGTCGTCTCTCTCCTCCCTCTCCTTCCTCGTCCGTCCCCTAAAACAATGAAGAGATAAATTGCGTATTTTAATGAGGCTGAGTTTGAAGGAGAGAGACATGCCACAACACAAAGCCAGCAGCTTAATACGCCTTCTTCAAACTCTTCTAGGTATCCATCAATGTTAAATTTTTGTTTTTAAGATATCCATCAATCTTTAAAGCTTAAATTTTAATTTAAATATTTTAATGTATTTTTTTAAAGAGGAAGCTCAACCCAAAAATTTAAGTTGATGGATGGATAAATTTAATTCATTTATAAGATATTTATTAATTTTATAGATTTTCCAAAAATATCCATGGATCGATATTGATGTTTCATTGATATTGGTTTTCAATTTTTAGTTTCTGTTTTCGGTTTTTTTATATTTTATGTTTCTTTGTTTCAGCTTTTAAAAAACAAAAAGAATACATGTTTGATGGGTAGAGTAAATGAGAAAATTGAAAGGGATGACCTAAAATATTGTGCGCTAATAAGATGTGCTCAGTTCTTAAAAAATTTGTTTTTGTAACCTTTTGGTCACGTCACTTATAACGTAAAATTAAGGGTAACGGTAGAAGATAGTAAAAATAATTTATGTATCTCAAAAAATGTCACCAGCTTTTTAAATTTTCAAATATAGTAAAATATTTGAATTTTTATTTTCGAAATTTTTATTATTTCAATTTTACGTTTATGATATCTGATATAAATCTAATGTATATCTGTATATGATATATATCCAATATATATCTATATCTAATATACATTAAATCTATATCTGATATATACATTCGATGTACCTCTTATATACTTCAGATATACATCTGATATACTACTGATATACATTATCAGATGCACCCATGATATGCATTATTAGATGTATGTATTATACCTCTATAATATATATATATATGATGTGCCTCAAATTTATGATATACTAAATAATATTTGCAACTGATATACTAAATATAAGGTATATCAGTTGTTTAAATTCTAGTTTATCATTGCAATTTGTTGATTATATTGATTATTATATCACTACTATTTATTCTATATTAATATCTGATATCAAGTATATATCACAGATATATAAATGTTGTATCGTAAATCAATAGATACGTATATCAGTGGTAAGCCATATTAAAAGTTCGGTAGATATCATAGTTATATCAGAAGTAAATCAATTGTATATCATTATTATATCAGTGGTATATCAAAGACATATATCACTAATCAGATATATTACAAATGTATATCTTGAAGGTAAAATTGTAATTTTAAAATTGAGCCTCCATTTTTTTGTTGAAAAACATGCTATATTTGAAAAGACTAAATGTGGTTTCTATTTTCCTTATTTACTAAATATTTTTATCATATTTATAATTGTCAAAATATAAATATATATATATATATATATATCCTCTCGTTCCCTCTTTTTTGTCTTCTTCATCTTCTTCCTAACATATATGTTTTCACCATTTCACTTAACTTAGCTTGCATCTCTTCTCCTTTATTCTATCAGACGCCTATAATTGTTGCAACTGCTTAAGTATCATTCCTACTCTCATTGAGATCGATATGTTTTCGATTGCATTTTCACTACCTGTTTTCGATTGTGTTTTCAATGTCTTTCTAATTTTGCATGACTTTTTGTGTTTCTCTATTGCATTTTTAATCACCTTTCATTTTCGATGTGTTTTGTGATTCAACCTTTTGTTGTCACTGCATTGTTATTAATTTCGTTGGGTTCGGATTTTCAAATTTGCATGACTTATATGTGTTGGAGGTGATTTCTCAACTCACACGTGGCATGAGCTGGTTATTCGTTCATAAGAGGCGCACGTTTCTTATACTACCCAAGCACAAGTTTCACCACCTCGACCGTGATTCTTCTGGCCAAGCCGACCAAGCTATATTAAGTGTCGTTCCCAAGTCATTGGTTGAACCGCTTACTTCACTTCAGCTCAATCTCTTCTCCGACAGACTCCACGACAATACGCCAAATTTCGCGACAACTTTAAAGAGTTGTTGAGCCCTTGTCAGGAATATGGTCGGGGATTTTACCTATAAATAGGACCCATTTACTCCGTTGAAAGGTGCGTGAATACTAAATTCTCTCGAATTTAGTTCGGCCAGTTATTAACTTTAGCATCAGAGTGTGTTCTGTTTTGCAAGTCACCTGCCCAGCTCATCCCTCGAGCAGCTCTCAGTCTAAGCCGAGATTCACGGAATTGATTGATTACGTGATTCAACAATATGTTTTTCGAATATAGAGATTTCTTCAACTTAGATTAACATGTATGTCACATCACATTAAGAATCGCATCGTACCAAATCATCAATCTATAAACCCAACTACACGTCTAGTTATAAAGATATTAAAATTTGTGTATTTAAGATAACATATCACCAATGAATAAACTCGGCTATAGGATTAGGTATACAGATGTTTATTAAAGTTTGCGTAATAAGATAAAATAACAATACTTACCTAGTTAGTAGGAGATAAACACTGGACCCCACTAATAATTTTTCTAACCACTAAACATAAATTATATTATAAATTATGTATGAGCGCTATTATTGACCAATACGCCGATAAGTATTGTTCAAAACAAAATTTATCCCTAAATATTTTAATAAATTTCTAAACTTTCGTTGGGTCCATTACAATATTGTTATCCTGTAAGGATTATGATATTTGACTTTCTATAAATAAAATCTTTTTGTTAATATTTTATTTTGTATAGAATCCAAATAAAAGAGACTTGAGTGGTTGTGGGCAATATATGAAAAGAAGTCTGTATCTCCATTATAATATTCTCAACTATAGTAGAACTTACATTTTTGCAGAAGACTGAGACGTAGTCCTAAGATTGAGGTGAACCACTATAATAACTGTGGTGTTAAGTTTTTCTATCCTTATCTCTTGTTCCTTTGTTATTGTTACTGTTTTTCTAGACTCATTTGGACAAAAAACTAAAAGTCCAAATATTTGTTTGTTTTTTTTTAAGATATGGTCTAAATATACATAACCATATCGACCTATTAAATAATTTTTAAAATACAAGATTAAAAAGGCAAAAATTCTAAAGTTTAGAGACAATTTATAATTTAATCACTAATTTATTTTTTGCAATTAATTATTTTTTTAGTTCAAAAGATTAATTAATTTAAAAATATAAAGACGTGTATAGCTATTATTTAAGCAAAAACCCATTAAAAAAAAAGTAAGTGGTTGGGCATTAGCTCTCTTGCGGTAGATTCAGCAGATCATTAAATGGTTGGCCATAATGGTAGTGCGATAAAATGTGGATCCCTCATAAATAAAATTAAATTAAATTAAAAAATTAAAGTTAAAATTAAAATTAAATGCATAAGAGAGCAAAAGTCAGAAATAATACTTACTTTCTTGTTTGTTTTGTTAGTATTTGCTACAGCGATTTGATATCCATGACATTTTGATCGAAATATATACCTTAATCAGTTGAGATATGTTCAACGTCTTAATTTCTTTTCATACTATAATAATGTTGTGTTTATTACACTTAAATAATGGTGACATGTTTAACAATAAATAAAAGTAATCTCGATACTATCATATTAATACTAGAAAAATTTTCATTATATATGAGTATATCTCAACTACGGGCATAATTACATCTAAATATTTCACTCAATCTTGAATTAAACATTTGAACTAAATGCATCATATGTCAACTTCAAGGTTTCATCCTAGGTTCATTTTCCATCCTTGCAAAATTACTCGTTAAATTTTCCGATGATCGAAGCGGAGATTCCCTACCGAAAAGTCCATTTAAAATTTTGTTGGGGTTAAATTCTCGGTGAGGAGTTCCTGTTTAAAGGTAAATTTCCCTATAGAATCTCTATTTAAAGTTTAAACTTTTGATATATATTAAAAATTAAAAAAATATATTTATCGAGAAACAAGGATCGAGGTAGAGCGGAGGTCTACTCATCAATTCTGTCGATCACTAAAAATTGTAACATTTATCAACGTCTATATCAAAACTAAAAATTGATGAGTTTGATAAAATTGAGGGTGAAAATTGGTACAACACATAGCGTTAAA